AGTGCTGGGATTACAGGCATGTGCCACAACACCCAGCTGTGTTAGGTTTTTCTCAAATGCTTTCTCTGCATTTGTAAACACAGATGATCATGCCCAGGATTGGGAGCGTGGTTCCCATTCCATTTCATTTCGGAAACAGTGTCTCACTATGTTTCCCAGGCTGGTATCAAACTTAGAAATCTCCTGCCCTAGTCTCCCAAGTAGCCCATAGTGGGACTACAAGCACGCACCACCCCACCTCATTTTATTACTACCATGCAACATCAGTTGATTTTCATATGTTGAATGACCCTTACATTTCTGGGGAAAATCACCCTTTGTCATAGCATGTAGTCCTTTTAATATGTAGCTAGCTTGGTTTGTTAGTGTCTGGTTGAAGAATTTTCCACCTGTATTCTCAAGAGATGTTGGTCTGTAATTTTCTTATGATGTCCTTGGCTTTGATATCAGGATAATACTGATGTTATAGAATGAATTAGGAAGTGTTTTCTTTGCCTCCTCTTTTTTGGAAGAGTTTGAGAAGGACTGGTTTTCATTTTTCTTTATATGATAGAATTCACCAGGGAAGCCATCTGGATCTGGGTTTGGCTTTTCCTACTAACTTAATCTTTGTATTTGTTATAGATCTACCCAGATTTTCTATTTTTTCTTGAGTCAGTTTTGATAACTTCTGTGTTTCTAGGGATTATCCATTTCCTCTAGATTGTCCAATGGCTGGCATGCAATTGTCTGTAGTACTTTCTTAGCCTTTCCCCTATTCCTGTAAGCTGACTGGCAAAAGACCCCCCTCATTCCTGACTTACTAATTGAGTCTAGGAAAAAACTGTGATCAGTTCTGCCAATTTCTACCTTTTAATTGGAGTTTGCTCCATTTATTTTTAAAGTAATACTACTTTTTTTTTTTGAGACAAGATCTCACTATGTAGTTCAGGCTGGCCTCAAACTCATAGAGATCCTCCTGCCTCATCCTCCCAAGTGTTAAGACTACAAATGTGTGCTGTCATGCTCTGCTAATTCTTATTACATAATCAGAACTGCTCCCCAATTCTATTATGCCGTATTTCGTGTCAGATTGTATTGAGTATATCATTTTTATTCCTTTCTCACTTACTTCCCTATCTTAGTTATTTTTGGAGTGGTTTCACTGTGATTATAATTAACGTCCTGTTTCATAAGTCTACTTTGAATTAACACCATGTTCCAATAGCACACAAGAACTGTGTTTCTATATAACTCCACCACCCATTCCTGTGTTGTTATTGTCACGGAACACAACTTCATGCATTTGTGCCCACCAATATAGGTACAATTAATGTATAGACTGCTGCCGTTTTACCTGGTGGAGGACTGAGTAATGATATTCCTGTCCCTTAGAGCTCAGGGTTTCAGGTTTGCTCATGGGATGAAAACGTAAGCCCGACTGCTAGGGATAATGTATTCAGCTTGATGTCTCTTTCCAGGCTACACCCCACCCACTCTCTGCTGGGGTAGGAAAGAGCCAACAGAAGTAAGGGCCCCAGTCCCAAGGCTAGGACTATCTAACTCCCTGCTGGGGCCAACGGAGGATGACACAGCGGGGCCCTCAGCTGTTGCTTTAATCGCGGGTGCCTGCAAAGGCTTATCTTCCAGAGTCCATTTCCCAGAGCTGGCGTGTCTTGTCCTACACCTCCCATCACCTGACCGAATTGGGGCACACCCTGCCATCTGCTTACCTGCCTTCCTCACGGACACCTGTAGTCTCAGGGAGTTCTCTGCCTCGGCTCGGTGATATTTACATCAGCAATGGATTACAGGTGACGCAGTTTCCCAGTCCCCACACCTCTCAGAATCTGTGAGGATGGGGCCCAGGACTTGTTCCCTAACAAGCTCCGGGCAAGCCTTATGCATGCTAGCGTTTGCCAACCACATCGGGACTGCCTACTCAGCCACAGATGAGTGTGCTGGGGTGCCTCTTACATTCTGCACCTGAGACAAGTGACCTACTCACCGAACCAACTTAACAATGTTCCTTGCAGGGAGCATAGCTGCTGAAATGCACTGGGGGTTGAATCCATCCAGTGCCATGTGTGTTTGCTCTGACGGATAATTCATCTACATTTTGTTCATATCCTTGAGGCTCTGTAGGAGACTGAGATTAAGGGTGGCAGACAAATTAACGTGGCAGAGGAAATTTCAAGGCAGTCCAATGTTGAAGCTGTGGCATGGGTGATGTTGGGGACTTTTAGCAGGTTTATACAAAATCAAGAGCAAAAAGCCCACTTTAAAAGTTTTTGGGGCTGGGTGTGGTGGCACATGCCTGTAACCCCAGCACTTGGGAGGCAGAGGCAGGAAGGTCACCGTGAGTTTGAGGCCAGCCTGGGCCACACAGTGAGTTCAAGGCCAGCCTGAACTGCATAGCAAAACATTGTTTAAAAAAAAAAAAAGTTTTTGGTTTCACCAGAAAAGAAATGCCTGTAAAGTAGGAGCAGAGGAGACCCTGGTTGCTCAAAAGATTAGTACTAAAAACAAGGCAAGTACTCTGGATCAGCACATTAGGAAAGATAGTTTGAGGGGATCACAGGAACCAACAAGGTCCCACCCTTTGCAGGCTCAAAATTGCAAAAGTGAAACTATCTGCTTCAAGAAGAGTCCCAGGTGCCTGTAATCCCAGCACCTGGGAGGCTGAGGCAGAAGGATCGTTGTGAGTTCGAGGCCAGGCTGAGCTACATAAGTGAGCTCAAGGCCAGCCTAAACTGCATAGTGGCGAGACCCTGTCTCAAAATGACAAGATCCAAGAAAAAAAAGAAGAGGAGGCCCAGTGCACCCTGCTTGAGAAAAGCTGCCTAATAAATTGTCTTGTGATTGGATTCAGTGTTCACCCATTGAGGTACTCAGACTCCTCTGCAGCAACGGCCCAAGAGAGACCAGCTACTGCTTGAGTTGGTGACGGGGTTTGGTGTCATCCACGTGGTGCTCGTTTTACAGACATGCAGAATGCGAGATTTGTGGCTTCCACCCAGATTTCAGAAGGCCTGGGAGGGCTGGCAGTGTGTCCTTGAGAGGACAGCGCCTGAAGCTGTGAGAGTGAAGCCGCAAGTGCAGTGGAGACCTCAGGAAGTTGGAGAAGCCAGATTCTGCAATGTCTGAGGGAAGCCACAAGGAGTGAGCAAAGGCAGCCCAAGAGAGAAGCCATGAAGGCTACAACCACCGAAAACGCCATGGGGTGAAGCCCCCTAAGCTATTTGCAGTTCATACGTTGCCACAACTTGCTGGACATGCAACTACAGGATTTAACGTCTGCCCTGTTGGGCTTTGGTGTCTTGTTTTGGTCCCATTCATTTCTACTCTATTTCTCCCTTTTGGGAGGGGAATGTTTATCCCGCGCCACTGTATGTCAGCAGCGCTTCCTTTTCATTTTTACAGGGACTCACAGCTAAGAGCTTTTCTTAGGTCTTCAAGGAGACTTTGGATTTGTACTTCTCAGCAGGGCTGGAACTGTTAGGACTTTTGACAATGGTTAGAGATGGACTAAATGTATTTTGCATAAAGAGATATGCATGAGGCTTTGGGGGGCCAGAAGAGGAATGTTATCATTTAGATCTAAAATGGCCCCCAAAAGCCTCATGTGTTTGCAAAGTGAGTGGACTATGGGGTAGTATAACTGACTTGCTGCTGGGAGGTCAGATCTGGTCAGAGGGGACCGTCACTAGGGGCGTGGCCTGGGTGCATCTCCCTCCCCAGCTCCTCCTTTCACTCTCTGCTTTCTGTTTACCAAGCTGTGAGCACCTCTCCTCCGCCAGGCCCCTCCGCCACGCTGTCCTGCCCTGGAGCCCACCCACTATGGACTGAAACACGAACCAAAAGAAACCTCTCCTCCTTTAAGTTGTGGGCACTGAGTACTCTGTCCTAGCAACAAGAAAGTGACTAAGACAGCTTGTGTCCCTTGGGCATGGTCAAGAGGGTAACCAGAGCCACAGGAAGGCAGGGAGAACCAGCACCTGGGAAAACACAGACGGCCCATTTATACAGCAGGGGTCTCAAACTCAGAGGTCTGCAGAGGCCACAATGATAACAAGGCCTGCTATAATATAAGAGGTGGTGGCCCCTTGGCCAGTGGAGAACCCACGCCTAAAGTGGGGACTGAAACTGGTCTCAGCCAAGCAGAAATTCAGGCCCAGTGAAAACCTCTGTCTTTCTGTGTCTCTCTGTGTCTCTCTTCTGTCTCACTCTGTGTTTATGTTTTGAAGCCAGAATTACAGATTTTTAAAACATTAAAGCTCCCAGTGCTTACACGTTGGCAACCAAATCCAAATTCTCCAAATCCAACAAATAAGAAGTCTCTTGGGGACCAAAGTAACTGCATCTACAATCCCAATACGGCTGGCTGGGGCACCAAGCTGAGAACTCAGGTGGAGATGACAGGCGACGTCACAGGACACTCACAACCACATCAGAGCATGTTTGCTTGAGGCTCTGCCACAGCTCGGGAGGCCACCAGGGTCAGCCTGAGTTCAGGACATGTTGTAACATGCCCAGCCGTCCATCCCATCACAGAAATCCCAGCCGACACCCCGTGGGCAAAGGCCTGCTCCCATGGAGGGGTTTCCTGGGCGACCAGCAGGGGTGGGACCTCAGCTTGAGCTCCAGCTCCTGAGGCACCGAGCACGGATGCTGACGCAGAGACCCATCCCAATGCCCACGCCAGCCACAGCTCCGGAAGGCAGGTCCAGCTGGACGAGGAGAATGTCCAGCTCCTGAGTGTTCTACGGAGCCTTTTGGCTGCCACCTCCCTCCTCACTGCTTAGGGCCAGTGATGTGTCAGGCAATGTCCCCAAGCAAATGTCTACCCTGCACACAGCACAATCCCTGGGTTCCTGCCAGGGCCCGGCACGCTCCATCCAGCCAAGTCTCTCAGGATGCCCCCCTTCCTTGACTCTGCAACACAGGAGGTCAGGAAGGAAGCGGGCAGAGCGCTGTCCTCACGGAACCCAGCTCTGTGCTTCCGGGTAAGACATGGCGATGCCTACAGCCCTGTCCCTTCTGGGGTCCCCTCTCCTAAGGTGCTGAGGTCCTGTAGGGATGAGAGCCACGTGTTCTCTTTCAACTGAAGGCTCCGACCTGTGCCCCTTTCCCGGGATCTGGCTGGTGGACCATGCCCTCCCCAGCTCTCTCAGGGGCTGCGCCTGTGCCCCATCAGGATCCCTGTACTCAGTACTCGGCCGCCCGTGTGGCTTAGGCGGCTCCTTCACTTGCCTCTATGTCAGTCTCCATGAGTGAGCTACACTCTGTCTCCAGGCACTGCCTTCTACTTCAACGTGTGTGGATTTTCACTGGCTAATAAGGCAGAATCCTGGGCCCTGAAGCAGAAGAAAACAAGCTGGCACCAGGAAGACATTTCCAGAACATTCCAGAGCTGGCCAACTTTAATATGGAAACACTTTTTGGCTACAGACATTCAGGTTTAAGGCACATTTCAAAGTACAAGGAGCCCTGTCACTGGCTGGGAACGGGCTTTTGCCCTGTGGTTTTGCATGGGAGACAGAAGAAATGACTGTCTGCCCTCTTTTTTTTTTTTTTTTTTTTTTTTTTGTCTAAAAAGGAATGAGTTTGGCAAAAACAAAGCGCATGATATATTCTCACCAGACGCAGGTATCACACTAGCAGGCCCTCGGTGAGGTTCAAGCCTCTCAGCAGAAATGTGTACTGGTACACAGACTAATGTGCATCTGCTGGGCAAAGATGGTTAAAAAAAAGAAAATGTGCCTCCAAATGAGAATCTAAAATTACACAATGAAAATGATGCTCAGAATCTTAGCCACAAGCTACGAGGAATGATTGCACAAGTCAGGAAATAAAATATCTACTGTAATAGCCTGAGGCTGCAGGGAGTGGGAGGAGAAGCCTCCCTGACAGAGCTCTAGCCACAACCAGGCCCTTAATCAGGGTGTCCAGGCCAGGAAGGGCAAGGCAGGACAGGGCCAAGGCTCTAGGGACAGATGTGCACCTCTGGGCTACTGGCTGGACTGGTGAGAAACATCATTTGGCCGCACCCTGGCATGGCATTGCCAGCAGGGGGCAGAAGTGGGCCACCAGTCACTGCTCAGTCATTGCCACCACAGATCTTCAGCAGGATCTTCCGGTAGTCCCCAGAAGTGTCTCCCTGGTAACAGGAACAAGGGTATCAGTTAAGCGAGGTAGGACCGCTCCTGTCTCCTGATTTTCTCCTGTCTCCTGATTTTCTCCTGGCTCAAGTACCTTTGTGGACAGGCAGACCCATGCTAGGGAGATGTGCTCCCCCACCCTCCCACCAGGCTGTCTCAGAACAAGTGGCCTGCACCTCGGGATGTGCACCTCAGCCACTCTCAGGTCCCTGTTAAACCACAGAGGGGCTGGGGATTTAGCTCAGCGGCACAGCGCCTGCCTGGCAAGCACAAGGTCATGAGTTCAATTCCCGGTACCGGAAAAAAACCAAAACATAAAAATATTAAAAGAAACCTGTTAAACCACAGAAAGCTGCACTTCTACCTGCGATCAAAGGTAAGTCAGTAATCACAACAAAATTTAAAATCAGCCTCAAAACCACTACCTGGGGCTGACCAGTATTCTTTTCCCCTGGTTATCTATGGGGCACCAAACTGGGGTTCTACCAAAATGCACAAGGTGTCCCACTTGAAGACACATTACCTCCGTGGCTATGCAATGGAGGACACTGCGGTCACCTAGGCTCCCAAGTTTCTGGCAGCTCTGCCCGGCCTGACACCTCTGCACTCATCATTTCCTCCCATCCTGGCTCGGGGGGGGGGGGGGGGCAAGGCCTACGGCTTCTTCTAGACAGCACAGCTGGCTGGCACTTGGGAGGTGCTTTGTCTCTAACTCCAAATTCTCTGCTGATCACAGCAACATCTTTACAGGACGCAAGTGGAGCAGCCCAACAGGGTCAAACGCTAGCGGGGGTCTGGAATGAGGACGTGGGCCCAGTGACTTTCTCAGTTTTGAAGTTCAGGTGAGTTCAGAACGTAACTGTCAGTCCAGCCAGACAAGAATGTACTGTCAGCCTGCGCTTGCACAGGGACCCAATAGCAGCCAGTATCTGCTAGACACTCGGCATACACCACTCCTAGGGAGGAACTATCATTATCCTCATCTTAAATATGATGGGCGTGGGGCCCAGGCAGGTTCAAGATCACACAGTTAGCAAGGAGAAAAGCCAGAACCAGACTCCCAGGTGAGCCCAGGCCCTGGCAGTGAGCCTCGGCCTTGCTATGCCTTGCAAGTGATTAGGGAGCCAGATCTGAGCTCCAGGAAGCCTCTGGGACAGGATTTCTGGCTAACGGATCACAATTCAGAGTGGCTGGGACTTTGAAGGCCAAGGCCAAGAAGGTAGGAGAGGCCCTGAGATTTTCTGAATGCTGCTGGGTGGATACCCCACGCAGTTACTGAGCAGTGGAGGTCCAGGAGGCCAGGGATGCAGCGTCAAGGACCTGCCCCTCCCTCGGGAGCTGACAGTCTGCTTGGGAGCAATTGCATGAACAAGGGAAGGTGAAGGGAACGGATCTGAGGTCTGTCGGCACAGCGCATGTGCGGCCCAGAGGCCAGGTGCATGGCCACGCCAAAGAGGACGAGCAGAAGGGAAGGGGTGGCCTGGAAGGTGCGCAGTCACAGTGTGTGAGGCCACAGGAGGTGGCCAGGGCCCGTACCGTGATGTCGTGGTACAGCGACTTGCCGTACATCCGCTTGTACTCTGCTCTGATGTCCAGAAGGTCAACCTCGCTTCGGGACACCATGATGCGAATCAGGGTCCGGTCCTTCGTTCCTGCTCCCTGAAGACGCAGCCCAGGGGCATGAGCAACAGGCCACGCGGCCTGCCTCCCCAGCCCTGACCCTCCCCACTCACAGCCTTCAGACTCCTAACTGTGGGCCTCCCACACCCGCTACACTCACCCCAGAGCCCCAGTCACACATGGGGCTACCCCCCGTGTTATACATACCCGCATGGCCTTGTTGAGCCTCTCAGCAAAGAAGGCTGGGGTGTTCTTGAGACATTTCACTGCCAGAGAGAAACACAGCGTAACTAGATCTTCAGGAAACTCTCAACCTAGGAGGGCGTGGAGTGCACACATGTCCTCCCGGGAGGCCGGGACGCCCAGCCCGTCACTGCATCCTTCTCCCCGCCCCCACGCCCCGCCTCCAGGCTCAGTGATCCCATGATCGTGACTCCAGCTCTTTGGAATAGGAACACGCAAAGCCTGGACACCAATCCACTTTTTCCTGGCAGCCACTGTGATAAAAAGGATTGAGAAGCACAGGGGCCTGGAGGGAAGAAATGTTGAGTGGTGAAGAACTGGACTGCCAAGTGGGCAGGCGGGGCCGACTGCGGATACCGTGATCCCTAGGGAGACAGACGGGCGGAGCAAAATCAGAGTCTCTCTGGAGTTCTCAGGCCATGAGCCACACCATGGGGGCTGTGCAGAGAAATGAGGATTACTCTCTGTCCAAGAAAAGCACCATGGAGAAAATGGGCAAAGGTACTCCAAGGTGGGTAAAAGGTGCAGTGACAAGGGCCACAGGGCAAGGACCCCAGCATACATGGCGGGACGGACCCGGAACCCACACCCTGCTTTGGAGGCGCAGCGGACAGAGCTCAGCCAGCTTTCCCTGGAACGAGCTTGTTTTGCTATTGCAAGTAAAAATCTCCCCCGTGTTTCCATCACAAACATCTGACAAGTGCCTGCAGGGAGGTATTTTTAGAGGAAGCTTGGCAGGATGTGAGTCACCCTCCTCCCGGAGAGCGGGTACATGCCCTCCCACCAATGCCCACACTGCAGCGCCCCTCTCCAGGGCCATGCTGGGAACATAAACAAGACACAGGCGTCCCGGACAGCTGGGTCACTGCACAGCGGGCCAGGTGGCAGCATGAGGTCCTAGCACTTGGACAGTCTGATTTTGGCAATACAGGGTCCTGAGGTTCTTTCAATGCACCACCCCTCAACAAGAGGACAGGGAGGACCCTAGCAGCTGGCGACACACACCGGCCCCTGGGACACCTACCCACAGCCAGCATGCCCTGCTCCAGGTCCCCCGACATCTCCCGGCAGATACTCTTCTCGATGTCCCGACCTGTCATCCTCTGATACTCATTGAAAACTAGTGGGAAGACAGAGAGACATGTCACAGAACAAAGTGAGTTCCCCTCAAACCAAGCTTAAAGTCTTAGCCCCGGGTACTATAAAATAAAACTGTGTTTGGAGACAATCTTAAAAAAGGTGACTGCATTAGCCCAAGGCTGTTGGGGGTGCTGAGCTGGTCTAGCTGGTATCCCACACAAGGGAGGAAATCAGAACAGCCAAAGATCAGGGATGTGCATAGACACATGGTTCTTGCCTTACGATTTTGTTTTGTGTTTTCTTTGGGTTTTCTGAGACAGGGTCTTGCTGTGTAGGCTGGCTGACCTCGAACTCACAGCGATTCTCTAGCCTTAGCCTCCTGGGTGCTGGGATTATAGGTAAACACCACCATGTGTGGCTACAATCCAGGATTTTTTTGCTTGACAAAGTGCACCCCACAGCCATTCTGTTCTTCATTTTCAGTACAGAGGCCACTGCATTACAGAAATATTCAACGCTGGTACAAACGAGGCCCTGTGCTGGATGACACTGCCCCACTATTGCTAAGGTAAGGATTTCAAGTATATTGAAGGTAGGCTGCTGGATGTGGTGACGCAGGCTTTAGAATCCCAGCACTCAGGAGGCTGAGAAGGATCACGGTGAGTTCAAGGCCAGCCTGAACCACACAGCGAGACCCTGTCTCAAGAAAACAAACGCAAAAAGGCAGGCATTACTGCTGTCCACTCAGAGCCCAGTGAACCCGACTCCACACCCTCTGCCTTCCCTCCTCCCAGACAGCCCCTCACGGTGCCCCGCCAGGCCCCTGCGTCACGCATCATCTCCCTGGCTTGGCCCTCCTGCACCCTGTCCGACTCCAGGGTTGCTGCGTCTCCCCCTACAGGAGCGACAGCCCGACACAGATGCTGCTCCGTGTGTGCTGCCTGGCTGTCCCTGAACACGGCGGTGAGCCCAGTGAGGACAGGACTGGGGTGCTGTTCCCCACTGCGCCCTCAGCCCCACTCCAGTACAGGCACGTGGACAGAGCGCCCCGATGCGTGAGACCTGAGCAAGCCAACAGCGGTCACCTACAGCTGTGTTATGCCACAGTGGAGCCTCTGCTGAGGGGCTCCAAGGATGCTCCCAGCTGCAAGGCCCCACACCCCAGCACACAGCCCGCAGCGGTCCATTTCCCCACCCTGGCTTCCTCCAGAGCCCCCGCAGGCCCGAAGCCCTGGGTGGTATCTGGTAAGTCACCAGCAGGGGGCGAAAGCAAGCTCAGCTCCCCCTCAGCCTTGGGAGGCCTGGACTATCTTACCTGCCACCAGGTGGGCCCGGCTTCGGGAGCACAGAATGGCGTTGAACTTGGACTCATCTGTTCCCAGGCGGTTCTCCCCCGCCGCATACAGTTCCTGCACGAGGAGGAAGACTCATATGCATTGCGGCCTTTGTCCCGGGCCCCAGGTCCAGGTCACCCAGGAGAGGTGGGCCACGTGTGGCCCCAGCCGCAGAGGGGAAGGAAATGGGACCAGCACCCTGGCGATGGGAGCCTCAGAGGCCTCATTTACAACAGAACCAGAACCAGCAACCCACATCCCCTCCTGGGCAGCAAGCGGGATTCTGAGACTGGGGAACTCAGACCAGAGTAACTGAGACCGACACGGGGTGCTGTGGGAAACGGGTGGGCCGCAGGGCTGAGGGGCCAGGGCTGACCACCCAGAGGTGAGCACCTAGCAGCAGGACTGTAAAATCCACACCGCCCAACCTTGACAAGCAGTGTCCCTCTGGATGACAAGGAACACGTGAGAGAGTGTCCGTTCCAACGGCTGACGGGCCGTGGTTGTGGACATGGGACTTCACGGAATTCGGTATCTTTCATTACCTAGTCCGTTAACTAGGTTTGCCAAGGGGCACAATTTGCACTGGCCTGTTAAACTTTTGAAGGCGTGAGCCCAAAATATTTGCCAACTTACAACTCTGCCCCAGTGGCCTCTTTTTAAAAGGCCTTCAAGGTCTCAGGCAGCAGCCTTGGACTCAAGGGCCCCATATCGAGTGCAGACACTCACAGGAGCTCAGAGATTCTGCAGGTTAAGGTGAGGGTGATGCAGGCCAGGGACAGAGGAGGGACAGCATGAGACCTCTGCCCTGCGTGAATGGCGGGGGAGGTACCCCAGCTCCATCCCACCAGGAAGCGGGGCTCTTTCCAGCCAGGACACTGGGGTTGGGAGACGCACGCTGCTCTAGGGAGCCACTGAGCTGCCTGGACTTTCCCCTTTTCTCTGCAGTTCATAAGGCGGGCAGGGGAGAAGTGTAAGGCTGCACACCAAGGCGACAGCTGGCTTATAGGCTCCCACCCTCCGAAGCTTGGCAGGTGAAGGCCAATTCTGCAGTATGCAAACAGAACGGTACTGCACCTGGGCACAGGGAGGGCACCGGTCACGTGAGACCCACACCCATAACTGACTTATCAACTACAGCACCGTTTCTTATTTTCCTCCCTTACAAGGGGGGGAAGTGAAATCCAGGTCTGTGACTGGCTCGTGGTCATAGCCGATGAGTGGCAGAGCAGCACGCAGAAGTCATACCATATCCACCGTCCTTTCAATCCCTGAGCACCCCCTCCTTTGAAGCAGGAGGGTAGGGGACACAGCCCTGGTTCAGAAAGCCAGGCGGAGCACCCACCCCCCTCACTCACCTGAACGTCTCTCTGGACGAGGGACATGTCCACGTTTGTGCTTTCATCTCGGTTTCCCTGAAAGGAAGCAGGTTGCAGGGCTGAGCCCACTCCTTGGAGGGTTGCACTACAACATCCCCATTCTCCCTTTTTCTCCCCGCGCCACCCCCTGGACTCCAAGTTCCTGCTGTGGGGAAGGCACCTGAGAGAGGGAGATGAGGAGCCGCTGGAAGTGCCCGGACGTGTCGCTGCGAATGGCCTCCTCCAGGGTCTTCTTGTGTTCTGCAATTCAGGCACAGGAAGGTCACCCCGTTGCCCACTGCAGATCCACTCAGCAAAAGAAGGCCCAGGGTCCAGGGCTAGAGGAGGCACATGGCCCATAAGGTCCTCCAGGGACACACAACCCTGGGCCTTGGGGGCTGTCACGGCTGTAGTCAGGGTCTGCAGGTCACATGCAAGGTCCTCCTGGTGGCCCCATCTTAGTCACCCGCTCAGGTAAACTACAGGCTGGGCAGGGCCTAGGGTATAACCCAGCGGGCTGGGAGTGGCAGGAAGTGGGTAATAAGGAGGTCTAGAGGGATACAGGGTGCAGAGAGGGTGTGGCCAAGGCCATGGGGTGCAGAGGCCCTGTGTGCACAGCAGGCACCTGCTTTGTAGGCTCTGCTCAGCTCCCGGATGTGCTCGTTGCTGCGGGAAGCCAGGATCTCGATCAGGCACGCTTCGTCTGTGCCAGCCCCCTGCGGTGGCAGAGAACACAACCGACCATGTGCTGTGACAGTGCCCGGGAAAGACAGCAGGAGCCACATGGCAACGGGGCCTCTGACACACAGACACAGCCACCGCACTGCCAGCAACACGTCATGAGAGTGACCGCCCCCCCGGGAAGGCACCCGTGACGGTCTGCCCCTCGGACCAGGAAACCGAGACTCAGACAGCAGCAGCAACTGCCCGGGTCACAGCATGTACTCGGGTCACTGTGTTCCAAGTCCAGCCCTCAAGTGAGATGACAAACAAGTGGGAAGATGAGCTGACAGTGAGAGACATCTGAGTGGTCATGTGGAAACACCAGAGTCCCCAGTGGACTGTGGAGTGCGTGGAGACCTCTAGGATAGGGCAGCAACAGCAAGATCAGAGGAGTTATCAGGCTGGGCATAGCAAAAAGGTAGAGGATGGGGTCAGCAGCCTGGCTTTTACATGGGTCTGAATTTTGGCTCTGAGGCTTACTTGCTGTGTGACCTGGGGCAAGTTACTTAGCCTCTCTGTGCCTTGGGCTCCTGATCCATACAATGGGAGTGATCTGGGTAAGAGGCATGAGTGTTAAATGAGTTATTGTTTGCAGAGTACTTTGTTCAGGTCTGGCAGGAAACACAGCATGTGTCAGTTATTTTTATAACTACCTCTGCCCACTGCTACCCTCAGATTACTCAGCATTCACAAACGGTATACGTGCCAGCCTCCTTATCAGGGTCATAGCATATCCAGGGCACCGCTGTCCCTATCCTCCTTCCTCTCCCTCTGGAAGCTGCTGGAGGTGGCAGTGGGCAGAGAGGAGCCAGCTCTGCACAGGACCCTAAGGACCTGAGAAGCCTCACAACCTGCTCAACAAACACTGGATGGGGGCACCAGCGAGCAGGCACTAGGCTGTCGGGGCCCTACTGCCCCGGGTCCCTGACGGAAGCAAATGCTTGGGGAAAGGACGGGAAAATCCCTTCCTACAGCACGTGGACTCCAAGCCAAGAGCACATTGAGCGGCAGTAATAGGACGCCACATCATGCAGGCTTCCTCCTGGGCTGTGCATGGACACAGGTACATGCATGCACACACATGCACTCACACGCACACTCACACGTACACACCTTGATGGCTTCCTTTATCTCAGACACGTCGAACAGGACTGGGGTCTTCATCAGAGCCAAGATGGTCTTCTCAAAGTTCCCTGACAGCTCGGATTTCAGATCTTTGATCAAATCCTGATTAGATATTCAAACAAACCGACGCTGAGACGCCACAGAGGGTGACCCATGAGAACAGCTTCCAGAGTCGGCATCAGCGGCATGGGCATCATTCTCGCCGGGGGAGACGCCTGACCTCAGGCCCGGCCGGGACCCTCTTAGAGCCTGCACTAGCAGGACGCCAGGGGCACATGGCACCAAGGCTGGAGAGGCGCTGGCTACGGCACTTGCCTACTCAGTATTTGTCCAGCTTTTACCCAGGAGTCAGAGCCCAGCCCCCTTGCATTTATTCTGATCCGAAAGCCTTTTCCTCCAAAATGCTCACATGAGCAAAACCTCCCCCAGTGCCCTGAAGGGAAACTGAGGGCAGGGGAGGGAAACGGTATGCTGCCCTCAGCCTCCTCGGGTGTGGCACAGCCAGGGCAGAACCAGAACTCTGGGCACCTGTGCCAACTTCAGTCCCCCGTGAACCCAGGGACTGTTCCCTTGGGGCATCCTTCACCTCAGAATGGGGCCACCAGGGGGTGGCAGCAGGAAGCGCCCTAGTGCAGCTCAGTGTCCCTTCTGAGTTCCAGGCCCAGCCAGGTCCGCAGAGAAGTGAGGGGGACTCCGGCCACCCCACGGCCAGAGGCCGCCCCCTGCTCCCCTCCTCCTGCACCCAGGGCCTCACCTTGCCGTAGGCTGTCTTGAAGGACAGGCTGATCTGCTGCCTCTGCTTGTTGGAGCGGCTCCCCAGGCAGTCGATGATGGCCTGTTCGTTGGTCCCTGGGGAAGAGGAGTGGGAGCCACACAGCCGAGGGTCACTGGGATGCTCTGCGCCTCCCGACACCCCAGCCTGCAGCCTCCAATTCTCCCAGGTGACCCAACCACACTCCTGTGTCACCTCCTCTTCCATCACCTCCCCCAGCCCACAGTGCCCCTGTGAAACTGCCCAAGAAACCAGCACAGAGGGAGAAGATCAACCTCCCAGGGTCTCTCACCAAAGCCCTTCATGGCCTTCCGCAGGACCTCGGCGTCTCGCAAGGGGTCAAAGCCAGAAGCGTCTGTGATGGTGCCTCGGTTTCCAAACTACACACAGTCGCAGGTAAGAGGATGTGCCTGCCACTTCCCCCAGACCACTCCACCCCCAGACTCTGAGACAAGAGCTGGGGTGTCTGAAGGATCCAGAAATCCACAGCGCTCCTAGAGGGTTCCAATCAAGACTGCCCAACGTGGCGTTACCCGTCCTCACATCCTAGTACGGGACCCCTGTCTGGCTCCCACAGCTGGGGGTCTCCACAGCTAAATCCTGGCCCTGACCCAGCTCCTCCAGGGCTGACAGGGGGCCTGGGGAAGGGCAGGCTGCAGGAGCAGAGGCTGCTGGCCTTTCCCTGCCACAGGGCAAAGTGGCGCACACTGGGGCGCTCCTCACAGGGCCTGGCTAGTCCGTGTGCAGCACCCAACCTTTCAATGGTGCACGGCCACCGAGAAACTGTCTGCGGGTGCCTTGTCCTTATGGTGGCTGGTACAGTAACAGAGACACGCTCGGAGAGAAGACGACAGAGGGAGGGAGGATGGGGCAGGGTTGGGGAGGGGAAGGAGAGGACCCTCTGTCTAAAACTAGTCACCCAGCACACATCACCAGCCCTGTGCTGGGCCCGTTTGGCCATGTAACCATGACGATGAATTCTAGGCTCTGCAGACAAACTGTTCTCCAAATTGAGCCAAGACCAACCCCGGAGAAGCTGCCAACAACTTTCCCCCCGCAAAAGGGACTGCAGGAATCGTCCACAACCCATCTGGGAAGGCGTGTCATGGGGCCTGTTGGGCCTGGAGGCCTGGAGGCTGGTGGCCAGGGCAGCTCTTACAGAGCACACAGCCTGGCAAATCACAGCAGGAAGGAAGGGCGCTGCTGGGGCGTTCTGACCCAGTTTGTACTCGCGATGTCTAACCAGACTGGGAGAAGGGGCAGGGAGCTCCCTCAGCCCCCAGGCAGGGGGCCTGGGAGAAAAGGACAGTCCAATAAACCAAGACGTGTGAGCTGCAGGGCTGAGCCTCCCCGTGCCCCAGCCGTGCTGGCAGGGGACACTGGACCAAGAGGCTCCAGGTGCTGGGCTCAGGGCTGGACCAGCACTCACCTGGGCTGGGGGCACGGCGGGGGTGACGGTTCCGGACCCTGAGTATCCCGGGTAGCTTGGCATCGGCTGCTGCCCCGGGGGTGGCACTGGCTGCTGCCCCGGGGGTGGCATTGGTGGCTGCACAGGGTAGGTCATTGGTGGCTGCCCAGGGGGCGGCACCGGTGCCCCTGGGTAAGGTGGATAGGAGGGCACCCCAGAGGGTAGGTTTCCTCCAGGGGGCGGGTACATTCCATACGGAGGGACAGGCTGCTGGGAAGGAGGGGGCTGCCCGAAGCCGCCAGGGGGCACCGGAGGGTAGCCGCCCCCAGGGGCTCCAGGGTACATGCCGGCTCCTCCAAACGTCCCCGACATGTTGGCTGCCTGCAAGGACACAAGGCAGAGTCTGACTCACTGCAGGCCCAGCCGTACTTTGCCGTCTGCCCTCCCCTGCCCAGAGCCCCATCCCAGAACTCAGTGCCTCCACTGAACTCCAAGCACCCCCACATCACACCCAACACAACCTCCTGAGGTGCAGCCAGTGAGGCTCTGCCCTGGCTCCCTCTGCGTCAGATTGGCACCCCACCCTTTCCCCAGGGGATGCAGCCTTGCCCTTCCGAAGGCTGCTCCTTCTTTCCCAGGCCCACGAGTGAAGGAAAAGAGTTTACAGCCCCAGAAATACAGGGCCCTACCTTATCAGCCTCCTAACCACACACTGTGGGCCGTGAGGCTTGGCTGGACTCCTGCTCATCCAGAATGAAGCCTGGAAGCCTGAGTAGGCCCCCCCGCTCCCCGCTTCAGCCACCTTGGCCTCCACTGCTGCCCAGAGCGGCCCAGGTCCAGGGCACCCAGGGTGTGGCAGCCCTAGGCATCCAGGTAGCACACCCCTCCCCTGCCTCAGACCTCTGTCGATGTTCCTTGCTGGCCCAACTCGACCCTACCTTAAAACCCTCACCCCACCCCACCTACCCAACTCCTAACCCTCTCACCAGCTCTTCTTGTTTCTGCAGCACCCACAAGAGAGCTGGCTCTGTTACCGACCTTTCCAATCAGCCAGTGCACCAGGGCTGAGACTCCTATTTGTTCTATTCACAAAACCCCAGTGCCTAGAACTGGGCCTGGTGCAAATTTAAGTGTGTTCTGGTTGCATTGTTTGCACTAACAACATACTTGTTTTCAGATTATAAAATGTATTATTTTTAAAGTAACACAACAAATGAAAGTTGGGGACAGATCTGCCCCAGCTACTGCTACATTCCCACCCAGGACCAAACCAGAATAGCTATCCCTCTGTGGACACACACATACAACATGCACGGGGACACTCACAGCACACGCATACACGCACGCACACAACACACACACAAGCGTGCAGATACACCCTCACCTTCCTCAGGCTCACACTGAGCTCATAAGGTGCTCCACAAATTTTCACGAAGACCCACCCCACCAAGCACCCCAAGGCTGTAAGGACCCGGAAAGACCATGTGTTCAATGTATCTCCTACCCCTCAATTTACAGAAGGGAGAGCTGAGGTCCAGACAGGGCATCGGGCAGGGCCTTGGTGAAGACCCTCCTGTTCTAAGAGGTAGTGGGCACACTCCAAGCTCTCAGTGACCGCCAGCCTTGATGCCCAGCTGTGTGGCCATGCCCACCCAGAAGGACGGACTCACCATTCCCGAGAGGTAGTCCTGGTTGAACTGCCCTGCGTAGTTGGCTACATTATCCAGCCCGATGGGGGGCCCGCCGGGCGGGGGGTAGGCAGCACCCCCCCAGGCCCCGCCACCTGCAAGTAACACAAAGCCCTCAGCCCCGGTCTGTCCCCTGCCCAATGGGGGAAGGTGCAGGAGCTCAGGAAAGGTGGCCTTGCAGAGCCTCAGGCCAGCGCTACAGAGGACAGAACAGCCAGGTGGAGAGTCAGGACAGTGAGGAGGCCTCTCCCTTATTCACCACTCAATGCTCGGTGGGGTACTCAGGGGGCACGGAGGGACCACGACAGACTCTGCCCTCCCAACCCACCAGCACGGAGCAGGAAGACAGACACAGGATGGCCGCTCCGGGACTCTGAGCTGGGCCCGTGACAGTGACAAGCTCCAGGGACCCCAAGGATTCAGAGCTGCACAGGCACAAGGCAGGGGTCCCCCCAGGTTCACTCCTCTAAGTGATAAATCAGTAACAGGAAGGGAGAGGCAGAATGACAGGCTGGAGGGGCTCTGGCCTGCATCATAGGAAACATGGATTCCACCCACTGTCCATAAGGGGACAGTGCCAACAAGCCCAGCTCTGGACCAGCAAGCCAGTCATATCCTGGGACTCTCAGCTACTCAGGTTCATGTCCTGCAGAGTAAGCGATGTCTGGGGAGCTTGGCCCAGTGCTGAAGCAGCGGCCACATCCAACCACTGTCACTGAGACCCACAACATGGCGGCCGACACCACGGTGGGGGCTGTGGATACCCATGGCACAGGCTTTTCTGCATCGCCTGCCTGCCTGCCCCGTCTGCTGCAGGGGTGGGAACAGCAGTGCTGACAAAGCAGACAGGACACAGACAGCAGGATTTCTGCTGCAGAGTGGAGTGAGGTCACTGTTAACCTGCCGGTAGCAGGGGTGGGGAACTGGCCCTGCTCAAGAACTGTGGCCCGGCACCCTCAGCTGAGCCGCCTCCCTGCTGGGGCTCGTCCCCTGCCTGCTGAAGGGAGGAGGAGTGGGTCCAAATGGTCCCAGGACTTTACTCCCCACATGAGTGATGGCTCCCCTCTGTTCTCTCCTCCCAGGAGGCTGTGCTGGGTGAGGATGGGGAGCAGTGAACTCCGACCCCTCTCACCCAGGACCACCCAACCCCTCTTACCTGGTGCAGCTGGGGGGTATCCCCCAGGGGGTGGGGGGTAGCCTGGGTAGCTCATGGTCGGACCTGGAAGGGAAGAGAAGGGGCCTTGAGACTTCTCTCCCTCTGTCCTCATCCCCAGACCCGACCAGTCTCCCTGTGCCCAAGCGAGGCACAGGAGCCCCCATGTTGGGGTGACCAGGCTGCCCTTTCCACTCTCCCTCCATTCCCCAGGCGAAGGGGCCTGGCCAGAAGGACCCCTGGGAACTGAAGCTCAGAGAGTATGCGATTACTCATCCATCCGTCACAGGGGGCAGAGGCCTGGAACTCAGGGATGCAGGAGGGACAGCTGGTCCTGATGGAGACCACTATAAAGCAGCTCTGCGCAGGATTTCATATTAACCAACTGGCTTTTCATGGTTATGTGTGAGTTTGCCAAGGTCTAGGCCCTTGTCCAGAGATGGGCAGCGGACTCATAGTAAGTGAACCTCGGAGTCAGTGATCCTACTGAGGCCTGTACTGGCCTGTGAAGTTGGGAGCCTCAAAGGACAAGAGTAAGGCCACTGCTGAGGACATCTGGCTCCAGCCCCAATTACTATAAGGAGACGGTAGCTGCAGGCATCTCACTCCTGCAGTGAAGGCCTTCCTGGAGATAACATAGTTCTCCTAAATTAACATAAAATAATACTTGGAGAAGTCCATAAAGGGATTCCCAAGTCCTGCCCAGATTTCTGCATTTTCTTCAGTATTCCCCCGCCTTTGTTTGAAAACCAAATAAATATGGGCTGCCTAGAGAAGTTCTTTGTCTAAAACCTCAGAATCTCCATTTCTGTAATAGAGTTGGACCCTCCTGGAGCCCTAAAATCATTTCAACTGTCTCATTTATTTAAGCCTGATCAGCCCGCAATAACTAAGGGTTATTAACGCAATATGGCCCTAAGGCCCTCTGTACACAGATCCTTGCCCATGTCCCGGGCCAATTAAACTGCCCAGGAGGGACCCAGATCAGCAATGACACCAGCCACTCAAGAGGCGGAGGCAACCTGCCTGCTCTTGCCAGCTAACAGCAGCCTTCCCGGGCAGCCACCTGCCCCTGCCAGCACAGCTGCTCCTTCTCATGCCAATCAGTCACCTGAAGTCACACAGGTCAGTCGCTGGGCTCCACCCCCAGAGTGTCTGGATCAGAAAAGAACTTGCATTCTGAACAAGATGTCAGGGGCCATGCCAGGCACTGCCCACCCACCAGACTCCAGGTGCCCTCCTACTACCTTGCAGAACTGTACCTATGGCTGGTTAAGAACGCCGAAGGACTTCCTTAAGGGGTTCCTGGTGCCCGCAGGCGCACTGGTTCTCAGCCTTATAGGCCATTTGTTTTGGTCAGTGGCTCCAGCAGTGACCCCAGACAAAGAGGTGGGAAGCCGGTGACCTCGGAAGGAGTAGGCAGTCACATATGGCAGCGTGTTGTCCTTCCGTGCCCTAAGCACGGGTGTCTGAGGTCCCAGCGGTGCTGCCCTGGGACAATGTGGCCCATCCTCTTGGGGCTGGATGAGCCGTCAGCCAGACACCCGCTTCCATACACCAGAAAAATTTCAGCCAGACCAGGATTTAAATGTGAGAAGTGGCTACAAACCCCAAGGGCATAAAATAAAGCTTCTATATGATAAGAAAGAGATAAAGAAAACAGTGTAAAGACAAATGACAAACTTAGGGGAAAAGTTTTTTAAAAAAGACTATGCAGGAGGCTGAGGCAGGAGGATCACTTGAGCCCAAGGTTCAAGGTTTGCCTGGGCAATAGAGACATCCTATCTCTAAAACAAAAGAAAAGAGAAAGACCAATAACCCAAGAGAAACTGCCAAAGGATGTGAACAACTTTAAAAAGGCCCAATTTAAGCTAGATGTGATGGCCTGTAATCTCATCACTCAGGAGGCTGAGGCAGGAGAATCATCACAAGTTTGAGGCCAGCCTGGGCTACACAGTGAGTTCAGGGCCAGCCTGAAGTGCACAGTGAGACCCTGTCTCTCAAAAACAAACAAAAAGGCCCATTTCAGCTGGGCATTTCTGACCGCACTTGCGACTGCCCCCTCCTGCCTAGAATAGCTACATAGCTGTTGCTCTTCCAGGATGAAAATAACTCACACAGGCCCCATTCAGCTCAACAGCCAGGGGCACAGCAGCAGCAGCGCACAGCGTGCATTCCTGGGAGGGCTCTGGGGAGTTTCCTGGCCTCTGGGCAAGAGCTCTGTCCTGAGGGCACCCCCCTCTCCAGGTGGAGCTCATCCCTCTGCAGAGCCACAGGGTCCTCAGGAGCCCCCAACAGTTTCTAGCCTTCCCCTTCCCCAAAGCACAGCCCTCTCCCCACTGTTTGGAAAGCAACAGGATCTATTCCGAGCCTGCTCACACCTCTTTTCGCCAAATCTTTCCAAGGCCTAGTTCAGAGCAGGCCCACGCCCTTCCCTGGACAGCTGTCCCTCTGGAGGTGGGTTTTCCGGACAGTGGAGCCCTGTGCTGGGTGCTGTTACATTCCCCTGCAATCCTGACAGCTGCCCAACTGAACAACGGCTCCCGGAGTCTCCCACCCATGGACTGGGCGGGCCATGTGCTCCTTCGAGTACCTGACCTAAGGGCCATGGCGGGACCATGACAAGGGGACTCCCCAGCTGTCAGGCGTCAAGTGCCCCGGGACACAAGGGTTTGAGCAGCTGTTCCCTCAATTCTAGCACAACCCAGCCCTCAGGAGGGTGCTAACAGTTCATCTCTCTAACAAGAGGAGGGGCACCGCAGGGAGCCTGCGGCGCCCCTAGGGCCTTGTCCTGGGCAGAGGGGATCCAGGCCCGGCTCCAGGGACCCTGGCTCCCTCTCTGAGACCATCCATCTACCGGAAGCTGCGCACTGACGGCCCCTCCCAGCTCTGCCCAGCCCTCACCCTCAGAGGAGCTGCTGGGGACAAAAAGCCAGCTGATCTGACTGCTCTCCACAGTGTGTTGCAGTGTGTTGTATCTTTCTAAGGAAAGGTTTCATTTGCCTCAGGTCTTCAGCTTTCTTAAATATTTTAATTTCCACTCTGACCAAGGCATTTTTTCCTTCTGTTTTTTTTATTTTTGAGACAGAGGCTCGCCCTAGAACTCACTATCCAGTTCAAGCTGGCTTGGAGCTCACGATCCATCCCGTCCTGCCTCAGCCTCCCAAGTGCTTGGACTACAAGAACGTACCACGCCCCACCCCCAGGTCTCCTACTCTGTCCTTTAATGAAGAAAAAAGGTGTGAGGATGGGTGATTCATACTCCTGATGTGATTCAACAGCAGGACATCACGCCCTTGGTCTTATGTGCTGGCTTCTGATCACGGCGCCTGGACACAGGGACTGAGCCTCTGGGAGACCTCCGCCCTCTGGTCCTGACCCTCCAGCACAAACACCACCTTCTTTCCTCACTGGGACTCTCTCCTGCGGCTCTGGCCTCCCCAACTAAACGGGAGTTTCCCTAAAACCCAGAGTGCTGGGCCCCCCACCAGAACCTCAGCACCAACAGGTCTGGGGGCCGCTGGGAAGCAATACAGCCAACACACTTCCAGGCGATGCTAAGGCCGGACCTCAGGCACCCTGGTGCAGCCCTGCCTAACCCCAGGGGTGAGTCTCACCTGGAGCCGTGAGTCCCCCCACCCCGGAGTCCCCAGGAACCCTGACGTCACTAATTCTGTGCTCCACACTGGGGGAAACGTTCTTCCGGGTTCTTAGTCACTTTCTCTCTCGAGCTCACTGAAGGGCCTGTTCCCTAGAGCTGTGCACATGGTATCCCGGTAAATCTCCAAGGCCCCACAAGGACGCCAGCCAGAGTCCCTAAACAATCTAGAAACAATGTGTGGGGACAGGAGGTGACGGCCATCCCAGCACAGTGGGGAGCCTGGCACATCCGGACCCCAGCAGTAGGAGGCCTCCAGCCAGCAGCAGGACTCACCAGTGCCCATCTGAGGTCCTGCATGACTTCCAGGGGCCAGAAGGGGAGCACAGTCCATGCCTGGCACACAGGTACAGAAGGGGCCAATGAGGAGGGACAGAAGGGGCTCACATAGGGACAGAGAGGGGCTCCCTCAGCACAGGGAGCAAGTGCTGAGGGGCACAGGCCCGGGCCCCTCGGTGCTCTTGGCTGAGAGAGGAGATGCCCTCATGGGATGACCCTCCATGGTGGCTGGAACATTCATTTGTCCATCAGCTTTTAATATTAAAAATTTTTAATATTAAATCTTTAATCTGTTTTAACCACAAAATTTTAGTATATTATTTAAACTACACAGCTCTGACAATGCTTGTATTTTTTTTTAAATGAAAGGAAATGATCCAGTGTGGTGATGCATACGCGTAATCCCTGCTACTTGGCGGGCTGAGGCAAGAGGGTCCCTTGAGTTCAGGGGGACAAGGGCACCCTGGCAAAATAGTAAGACCCGTGGCCAGGCATGGTGGCACATGTCTGTAATCCTAGCACTCAGGGGGCTGAGGCAGGAAGATCGTTGCAAGTTCAAGACCAGCCTGGACTACAAAGTGAGCTCAAGGCCAGCCTGAACTGCATAGCAAAACTCTGTCTCAAAAAGACCAAAAAAAAAAAAAATTTAAGACCCATCTCAAAAACCAAAATAAAGAGATGATAAGCCACAGCATGGTAGAAAATATGTACAAAAGGCACATCAGATAAAGAGACTTCGCCAAAACAAACAACTCTTTAAACCTCAACAAGAAAACAAACCACATAATCTTTTTTAAATGGCCAAAAAGCCTACACAGAAAGTTCACCAAAGAGGATACCCATATGACAAGCATATGCTAAGCCACACCACATGTCACTTAAGAGCTGCCAGTTAAAACAAGGAGAACCACTACACACCCATTAGAACGGCCCAGGTCCAAACACCCACAGCATGAGATGCTGTGGGATGCAGAGTAGGATTACTCATTCACTTCTTTATTCTTTCATTCCTGAGAGGGCATACAAAGTGATACAGCCATTCTGGAAGAGGTTGGCAGTTTCTTAAAAACCAAACATGTACCAAACCACCCAGCAAATGCATTCAAAACCTACATCCACACACAAATAC